AAAAAAATGTAATATAAATACACCCGTATGTGTGTTTGACACACACACACACACACACACACACACACACACACACACACCCACCCCCTGGTATTAAAGTTTTTTTAAATTATTTTTTTCTCTCATTATGTGGTACTGAGTGTTAATGACAAAGTGAAAACAGAATTTTAGAAATGTGAATTTATTAAAAATAAACAAAACTGAAATATCACATGTACCTAAGTATTCAGACCCTTTACTCAGTACTTTGTTGAAGCACCTTTGGCAACAATTACAGCCTCAATTCTTTTAAAGGTATGATACAACAAACTTTGCACACCTGGATTGGGGGATTTTCTGTCCTTCTTTGCAAAAGCTCTCAAGCTCAGTCAGGTTGGATGGAGACCGTCAGTGGACAGCCATTTTCAGGTCTCTCCAGAGATGTTCAATAGGGTTCAAGTCAGGGCTCTGGCTGGGCCACTCTAGGACACTCAGATAGTTGTCCCAAGCCACTCCTGTGTTGTTTTGACTGTGCTTAGGATCGTTGTCATGTTGGAAGGTAAACCTTCAGCCCAGTCTGAGCTTTTGAGTGCTGTGGAACAGGTTTCCATTGAGGATATCTCTGTACTTTGCTCCATTTAGCTTTCCTTCAGCCCTGACCAGTCACCCAGTGCCCTCCTGCTGAAAAACACCCCCACAGCATGATGCTGCCACCACCATGCTTTACTGTTGGGATGGTATTGGGCAGGTAATGAGCTGTACCTGGTTTCCTCCAAACATAAACTTTAGAATTGAAGCCAAACAGTTCAATCCTGGTTTCATCAGACCAGAGAATCTTGTTCCTCACAGTCTGAGAGTCCTTCAGGTGCTTTTTTGCAAACTCCAAAATGGGCTTTCATGTGTCTTGCAGAGGCTTCCATCTAGACACTTTGCCATAAAGGCCAGATCGGTGGAGGGCTGCAGTGACGGTTGTCCTTTGTCCCATCTCCAAAAAATAATTGAAACAACTGTAGTATCAGGCTGCAACATAACACAATTAAGAAAACAGAATTTGACAATGTTTCATCATGCATTATGGCATGCTGCATTAATGTAGCCTATTCATTTATATTATATAGTTTGAGGTTGTCAATGGAGCTGGCTTCTAAAAAATCCTGCTGGCTCCTGGACTGGACAGACTGGCTCCTAAATTCCTTATTAATTTGTCCACTTTGCATTAATTGTTATTCATTTATGTGGGAAACATCTCTTCTATTGCACAGGTGTATTCTGTAGGTGAGGTCTGTCAAACCCAATTGAATCGTGGGCCACATCAGCATTATGGTTGCTCTCAAAGGGCCAATTGCGGTCTATGGTGGGCTGTGCAGGTTCTGTGTTGGGCTGTGTGGACTTTCAGGTGGCTGTGCAGGTTCTATGGCGGGCATGTAAGGCTTCTGTGGTGGGCTGTGCAGGTTCTATGGTGGCCTTTGCAGGCTTTCATGTGGCCTGTGCAGCTTCTGTGGTGGGCTGTGCAGGCTCTCAGGTGGGTGTGCAGGTTCTGTGGTAGGCTGTGCAGGCTCTCAGGTGGGTGTGCAGGTTCTGTGGTGGACTGTGCAGGTTCTGTGGTGGCCTTCACGGTCTTTCAGGTGGGCTGTGCAGGTTTTATGGTGGACTGTGTGGACTCTCGGGTGCTTGTGTGGTGTCTATGCTTACACGGGGGTTCCTGGTTGGTCTCGGCGGGTGCGAGCGGTGTGTATCCACAGGAAGGAGGGGATTTTTTGACGACACTGGAAACAGGTGGCACTCTTCACAGGAAGGCTGCTGGGACCTTGCTGGGGACCTCGGCAGCCTTCCTGTGAAGCCTGCCACCGGTTTACAGCCCCAGCTTCATTAAAAAAATGTAAAGCTGCAGGAGAGGTGCGAGGGCCACATTAAATGGCCTGAGGGGCTGGATACGGCCTGCGGTCCTTGTGTTTGACACATATGCTGTAGATGCACAAAATGAACACTTCTTCATGCAAGTCACAAATGATTTTTGCTTGGTAACTTTGTTAGGAGAAGAATATAGAGCTAAAATAAGGATTGGTATTACAATATCCATCCTGACCAATTGAGGCTACTGAGCCTTATTCAAATATGTTTAGTCTTCATTCAGTGTGGTGAGTTGATGCTTCTTACAGTTATGGAAATAAGAGGGGAGAGACAAGTGTTTGCCAGTACAAACACTGACACACTTTGTCTCTTCCTGTGTTATTAATATACATTAAAAGGTTTCAAAAGTAAATATCCTAGGAAACACTGACAAGCCACAAATTGAATACTTGTCAGGGAGATGTAAGAGCTGAGCGATTTAATGGTTCATAAATTTTCCAGGAAATCAACGTGTGTAGCAGATGACAACGTCAATAAGTTACACAGCCAAACACAGCTACTTGAAGAAATGATTTCTGCCTTTACCCTGACTTCTATCTCGCTGACTTCTATCTATCTCGCTATCTGTTCCTTAATAGTGATTATCATTTTTTTCAGTTCATTATTAATTGTAATTTCTGTCAATTGGTATTCAATCTACATTCACAGTATTATCTTCCAAAGTGCACAATATTCATTTTCATACACAAATCATTTCCAGTACCTGGTCTCCTGAATCAACTCATTCTCTGATCAAGTCTGTGCAACATATAATGTAGAGAGGACGAGACTTTTTTTCCAAAGGGATTTTGTTTTCTCTGCAGTTAAAGCAGAATTTTGGGCAAACATGTTTTTAACCCTGAAGCGGGGCTATCCCTGCACTACAAGGGCAAAGTTCTTGTTTTTGTCTCGGTGCTCAAAAAAAAAAAGTTATATTGACCTGGCCTTCAGAGCATTCTTGCCTCTTAGACCAGTCCCTGGAGCCTCTCTCCCCATCTGCTGCTGCAGTTGAAGGTCATGTGAGTCATTGTGTACTATACAAAGTCTATAGGACACGAGGATGCCGAGGGACCTTCCTTCGCTGCAGCAGAGGAGGGGACAGGCTTCAGGGATCGGAGTAGCAGCCAGCCAGCTCCGAGGTTCTCGTGAGTATAACTTTTTTTACACAAAAATGAGGTAACGACAAAATGAGGTGAGCACGTTTCCCCAGAGTTCTGCTTTAACCACTTCCGGGCCACAATAAGTCTATAGTCAGCGGCCCGCAGAAGTGGTTAAAACAAGAACATGGCGGCGGCTGCAGCAGCCATTTTCTTGGTAACGATTTAAGCAGTAGACTATTGCTGTTAATGTACAAGTGATCTGGCGCTTAACAGCCGCCGGATCGTTTGTACCGAGTGGCGCCCTCCCTGACGCGGCTGCCGTTGGCTTCCCCGGGCACCACTGTCCCTGTGCGGCGCCCGGGAGCGGCTCGGCAGGTCTCCCCGCAATGATCGGAGAGAGATTCACCGGCTTCAAGCCGCTGAGC